TGAAAACCTGCCATTTGCATGGGGCTTAGGAGAGATGTGTCAGGGTGAGTTCTGGGGCTCTCTGTACCACGGCTGGAGTCCCAGTTGCAAGGGTGGCCCCACAGCTCTCTCTAGGAGCCACTGCCACAGGGGATGTTCCCTCCATCCTGGCTACTCATTCCCTCCCCACACACACTGCACTGAGATGGCCACATGGTAAACCGGATCCACTCATCTGGGTTACAAAATTCCCAACAAAAACAGGGTGGGGAAAAGGAGGAAAATACCCTACAACAGAGCAGGAAGCTAATGCAGCTTACCACAGAGATGCAGGATAGGCTGAAAACACAAGGAGAGAAAATTCCCTAAGTCAGAATTGGAACAAAGACAGAGCACCTGGAGCTGCAGGCTCAGCTCCTCCTGCCAACCCTACTCCAGCTGCCAGGACTCTGAAGGACTTCCATTTCGGTGGCTTCTCCTAGTCCTGATGACTGGGGCAAGACTGGGAACTGAAACATGGAAGGAAATGATGACCGAAGTTTCACTGAGACATTTTTTGGCATGACACCCATTTACACAATCCAGCAGCAGCAGCAGCTTCCTACCAGCCCTTTAGTTGCATCTACTGGTTCTAGGTTACTTCTAACCAAGACTAGTTTGCTGGTATAGCTCCCACTGTGGCTGCAGAGCCATCTGTGCTGGCACAGGAGAGGAGGGGTGGGGAGCAAGAGGAGGAGAAAGGGCAGCAGCTTATTTAATCATGCACTGCCCAAAAGAAACAATCACAAAACTATGTCTTTTGTACCGTTTAGTACAAAAAGTACCATTAAACAGAGAAATTTTTCTAAGCCAATGAAAAAGAGAAAGAACTCAGCACAGCGGGGAAGGAAATGAGTAAACTGGGATGCGGCATCTTGTATGTCTGGAAGCAGACAAGTGAAAGAAGACAAAGCATATGATCTCCTCCCTTTTGGCAGGCACAAGCTATTTATGTTGGCCCTGCTGCCCCTGAAATCAGGGGGTTGGGACTGAGAGCAGGAGGAAGTGAGGAATATGATGAGAAAGGCCAGAGAAGGACATTTGGGGAAGGAGGTTCAGAGAGGCCGAGCAAAGAGCAAAAAGATGGAAAGGGATATTATGGTGGCCGAGAAATTAAAGCTTGGAAAACGAGGTCTAGTCCAAGGTGGAGACAAGTCTGGGGGCAGTTCCTCTGCACAACTTAAGCTGGAACCAGGATCCTGAGCCTCTGCTGCTTCTCCATCAGCAAATACCACCTAATATCTTTAAGTCACTGAACACTGTACTGATGAAGAGCCCAAACAGAAATATAGATCTCCGTCTGCACCTCAAGGTTTGAATAATGCACGGTGAAGAGGCATATAATGCAGCTCCAACCTGAGCTGAGAGAAAACAGATGACTGAGCAGATACTCATTAGCAGCATTCATTAATAGTCAGCAGCGTTCATCTTCTGCATCATTGCCCAGACCATTGTATCTGGGTTCATCTATGAATGAGTCCATATATGATGGACAAGGCCAGTGTAAAACGTACTTTGAGACCAGGGCAGAACTGACAAGAGATTAAGAGACTGAATTAAGTTTGTACACATAATCCCATTTCTTGCATTTCTCAGAAAAGCATGTCCCAATCCATCAGAGTAAGCAGATTCAGAACCATAGCTTCTAATAACACTTCATTTTTTGGCCAAGAAAACTATCTAGGCCAAACCCTCTCTCTCCATAACCCAGGTGATTGTTTGAAAAGTTGTCTATCATTTATTGTACAGCTCCAACTACTAGTCAGCAATTCAATTCAGTTACCAACATTGAAAGCACAATATTTGCTCAGGTTCAATCCTTCCAGTCCGAAGTTGGCTACCTGCCTCTCTTCATAGAAGCCATCTCCAAGAATTTTACCAGATGGAGATACTCAACCCAATCTTTTTTTTTAATTTTTTTTTTTTTTGTGCCAGTAAGACTAATCTCTTTTTCAGAGGAGTTAAGGTAGCTTTTTCACCCATAGTTCTCAGAGCAGGTTTAAGTTACAATAAATAACATTACAAATGAGGAAGCCCATGTCCAGCTCGATGAATCACACCGCCTCCCTAAACCACACTGAAACTGGAGCTGCTGGGGAAGTGTTCTTGAAATTTCTGTAGGAGTAGTGATAAAAGGCAAACAGGGAGCATCGTTTTATCTGATCTACTCCTTCCAAAGTTGTGTAAGGTATCTACACTTCTGTAAACAAGTACTGCAACCTGCCTGAACTTTCATCAGCAGTATTACCTTGGGCAAAACCCGATACCAGTGCACATTCCTACTCCTGATGGGCAAGGATACAAATGGGAATTGGTACCTATGAATAAAATATACTTTTGTCATACTCCTGAAGTTGTTTAAGTCTTTCAACAGGTATAGCTGGAAATTACTCAAGTCATGAACCGACACACAGCCATATTCCAAAACACCTGAACTTCTTTCACCTTTGTTTTTTCTGTTATGGTGTTCGTTTAGCCTAAAGAAAGCAACACTTCATATGCCAATTAGTCACCCACAAATAGGAGAGAAGATCACAGACTTTGTGCTACAAAACTGCAGTGATCTCTGTTTATGTCAACACATTGTTCTGCCAAGATGAAAACAGGTCCAACAGAAGAAGGATCATTTCCAAAAGGAGGTGTTTGTGTCTGTTCAACACTGCCTGTGAGTGCTACAGAAGACTAGGAAACCCCACGCAAAAATTATACCTAGTCTTATATTTGAGTTATTCTCCACAGTAACCATGCCTGAACTTTTAAGGACAGTGTGAATTTAAGCTTTTTGCCATGCAAAATGAATACACTCAGAAATGACATGACTTATTTATGTACCTGCAGGGTATTTCTTGGAAATTACATAGCAACTTATGCCAGCAATGGGAACATTACTAATGTAACACCATGTTATCTCCTTATAACAATGTAAATGCCTCAGATCACCACCGTATTTGATAACATCACTGAGATAAATGTGTCATCCATGCATAATTCCAACAATGGAGGATGGATGTAGCAGCAAGACAATCTGCATTCCCCCAAATGTAACAAAGTTCCAAAAATATAATAACTGACACAAAAGAAACCCCACCCCAGCAAAAGGAATTTAAAGACATATTGAGATGAAGTGTGTGTTTCTGTGGGGACAAATTAGGAGTGTGTGTGCCTGAATATGCAACTGTGTAAAACCCCCAAACTTTTTCTCTCTAATCTACAAAAACTCTCCAAGGACTGACTTCCAATCCAAATGGCATTATTCCAAAATTACTGTACAAACAGTACAAACAGACTAAAATCAAGTTTCAGGCAGAACAAGTCTGACATGGACATACACCAGTTGTTACAACTGGTCTCTTGGCATCTCTCTGTAGACTGCAGTAGCTCTTTTGGCATTGCTCTCTGCCCATAACCATACTCTGGTGCAGAGAAGGAAGCAGCAGCTCCAGAACTAGCCAAGCACCAAAACGTGTTCCAGCCTTCCCCCACCTTCGCTGCCTGGCACCCAGGTACATCTCAGTGCACTCTACACTCACAAATCCTCACTCTTATTGTATCTAAAACTGTGTGTTTACTCTGTGATGTCTGCAACAGACTCGTTGAATTTAGTTAACAGCAGCTCATCAGTAGTACAAAAACTTGTCCTGAGAGCCTGAACTAATAAGCTCAGTCAACAGAACCCTGGGTATTTTAAAGGTTACCTCCAAAAGCCCTTAAATCCCACCAATATATACAATTTTTTGACAAAACTCAGGAAAACAAGTAACGGTGCTAAATATGGAATGTATAGAAGATGGTAGTATGAAGCAGTGAAATCCCTTGCTAGCTAAAATGTAGACACAAAAGGGATTCTGAATTAGGAAAGAGGTAATGATAGAAAATAAAAATGAAACAAACACAAGTGAAGTGTTCTGGGAAAGTACATTGGCATCCCAAAGCAAATACAAGGCCAAGTTCAATCAAGCAGAGTCACAGAAATGTTATGTCCCTTTATCAAGCATTAAAGGCTGATAAGTCTGTCAGGGGTGGAAGCTGCCTGCACTGAGAATTTCCATCTAGAGAAAATTTTCCCAGACTCAGGTCTCAAGCACAAGTTCAACATGAGTTTTCCATTAGTAAGATTAAATGTTTCTGTAGATGTTTCAGGAAGATATTAAAGTGTTTACAAAAAGAATGAAAATAATGAATGCAAACACAGAAAAAGTAAGATTGTTTATGGATTTGTAGGACTTGGGGAATTTTACATTAAGAAAGAGAGAGGTTATTTGGGGATTAAAATACACATACACAAGTTTGATCTAAATGAACTTCTAACTTTTCAACTCTATGAAGAATCCAGTGTCTGAGACAGCATTATAAGATCAAAATAAAAATGTGAGAGAATAATGATGGAAAAGACCTTGCAATATTTATCCAGGCCTACAAGAAACTACTTTTATTTTTAGTCTAAAGTCTCAGCCCAGAGAGCTGTTCTACATGGGCCGGCTCCATATCAGCACCGTGATTCATCTATGCAATACTATTGGCAGGATCAAAGATTTCAGAAAATTCTTATGTCAGTCTACATGCATCACCTGAAAAGTCCCCAAACTTTCAGGCATCATAAACTAAATTTCTCAGAGTGAATCCTAACCCTGTGAACCCCGTGATTTTCAGTGGCAGCCCCCAGCAAGCCCCTGCCTCCTTTATGAGCCTCCATGTTATGCTTGCTGAGACTGTGCTGAGGATGTCCATGAATCAGAGGAAGATGATTTATCTGGAGGGCTGAGTTTTCTTTCAGCTGGCTCAGTGCAGTCTTGTCCCTGCCCTGCTGGCATGTCACAGGGGTGGCACAGGGTAGAGAGAAACAGGCAAGAGAAAGGAGCATCTCTCTAAAACATATAAAATCAAAGTGTAACATTTTACTCTTGCTATCAGATTATTTCCTACTGGCCTCCAGGCTCCTTGTCCTGCTCAAAAACTCCACAATGCAGGAAGAAAATTCTCACCTCCATCAAGAGCTTCCTCCCTTGTACTGTCATCATCACTGGGCTGAAGAATATTCCAGGATGTCAAAGCAAGTGAAGAAATGTCTTCAGCTGATGATAACTTCAGCATGTCCATGCGATTGCTCTGGGGCTTGTAACGGGGGATGAAACACTCTTTGCCTTGCTTAAAAATATCCTTGATTATTTCTTCTGTCTGGACTTCATCTGGCATGCTCAGGAAGATTGCAATTCTTTTGGATTCTTGGTACTTGGGATGGCCAATCACCTACATGGGAAATTGATGCAGTCAGTTCATAAAAAGTTTTTTAAAATATCAATTTATTTTAATTCAACACAAAACTGGAGCAAAATATCAATTGAAAAGGGCAGAGATACAAAATTTGATGCATGATAAAACAGGCTTTATTTCCTACTCCAACATTTCTACCACTAGCAAAAATCAAAATAGGCAGATTTTTGCAGCTAGTGAACAAAACACTGTAACACAGGTTTGGGCCAGTAAAAAACAATTTTAGAGACAACCTCCTGATGCCCTAAATATCTGTGCCATACAGTACAGACATCCTCAAATGCCTAACATCACTGGAGAAAGGTACAGCAGGTCAGAACTGCCAGCTTGTACAAGACAGGAGGTTTTAGCATTCCTTTTCTTCCATCTTTTTTATATGCCCATCTCTCATCCAGGCCTGGGTAGAATAAGAAGCACATCAATGATAATAACTCAAAAGAAAATTAGCATCAGAGCAGATGATTGCAGACCACAAAGTCTTCCAAGACCTGGCCCCTCTTTCTTTTAACCTGAATGTCTTCCCTCCAGCAAGTTTAGATATATGACTTTAAACATCACCTGCTTCTAATGGGTGATCTTATAACTACACATTTTTCAGAGCTTGAAGGAAAGATGGCCTTGCCATTTTTCGCTTTTCATGAGACTGTGCTGGGCTTATAAAAGACTGAATATAGGAGAGAAAATAAAAAAACGCTTATATGGTGAAAAAGTGTTAGCAGACTCATACCTCACTGTGTCTCTGCCCATTCCAGATTAAAATCCACATTAACATTTGAAAGGAGGCTTTTAAAAGCTTGTTTTCTCATTCTCTAGTACCTTATATATTTTGTTACTTACATCTGGACAAAACAAATACAAATGTGTCCTTTCACATTTAAATGTGATTTATTCTTATTCTACACACAAAAATCTGCCAAAAATATCAGACAACCGAGAAATAGAGAAACTCTCTACCATGTAGAGAACAGAGTGCAGCAAATCCTCTGCTCTGTGTTTGCATAACTGCAGGGTAACTTGATCTGAGCTTTAGCCTTTGCCCTGGTCTTGTTTTGAGATATAAATGCCCGTACCAAAGTCAAGACAGGGTTCTCACTAATTTTTTTTCTTTCTTTTTTTCTTTCCAGCAGAGCACTTAAGAGCCCAGGTGAATCAGTCAGAAGATGAATATAATTTTGCAAGGGAAAAAAAAAAAAAAAAAAAAAAGAAACACTCCAGATCAAATTACAGTAATGTGTTGTTCCTTGGCCATAGAAACATTTTAACAATTCAAACCCATATTTTATTTCTTTTTGTATCTGCTCAGCCCAACACATGGATTTTTCCAATCAAGGGATTAAGCTCTTAAAGAACAGAATTTCCATGGTAGCTTTTGTTTGAAAAAGGGGACTATTTAGTGAAACTCCAGACTCCAGGAAATGGTTGTGATTCACACTGTTGAGGGCCTCCAGAGCCGAAACTTCTCATGGGTTTGGTGAAGAGAGAAACTGAGACCCAGAACTCTCTTTCAGAGGAGTGTTGTGTGCTATGGGCACCACACAGGTCCCATCTGCTCTAACATATCCAGTCACACATTGATTAGGCTGAATATAGGAAAAAAAATGAGGTTGAAAATGTAAACCCACAGAACTTCAGATGTTCTCAGAACTGTGAATATGCTCCTATTATGACTCAGAGCAGTTTCACTCTGAGAAGAGTGAAAAAATTTCCACACTTCACAAGTATTACTGCCCTTTGTTCACTAGCTGATGGAAATTTTTGAAGAATCAGAGTATGCAAACAGCACGACTTTAATCATGAACATAAACATTAAAAAAAGAATAATAATCCAGGAGCTAATTAAATACTGGTGGCTAGGTCTGCCTGTGAAGCTATTTCACTTGGAATATAAAGATTATTCTGAGATTTTACTACTAAAAATATTACTCAGGTGTTATAAAATAACCTGCTCACTTTTATTAGCTGTAAGCACTGATATATATGTTACAAAGCTACATTTTTGGCCTTAGATCATTCCAGATATTTTCTCAGCCTTTTCAAAAATTTCCCCATGCCTGCTCTATCACCCCCCTGTAAGGAAGCTGACTCTACTTTCTGCCCCTTGCACAGTGCCCCTCTGTCTCATACAAGCTCAGGATTTTCAATTTGTGTCAGATTATTAAAGCGGCAGGATAAGATCAATTTATGCCCTACTTCCTGATGCCTTCTTTTAAGCAAAACAAAAGCTGTATCTTCCAGTGTCCTCTCACTAACAGAAATGAGTGCTCTGTTGCTGTATTTATCAGCAGCAGTTAGACAAAGGCTGAGGGGCTTCTAAAAATTCAGTACTACGTGGGCTAGGTGCTTACAAAGTTGGCTGAGGACTCTGCATTTCTGAAGAGGATGCATATCAGTATTTGCTAAAAACTGAGAGACTTATATCCAGGATGCATGACTACTAAAATTCATTAGCATAACAGTAGAAAATGTCATATATACATATTTATAAAAAGTATCCTCTATGAAACAAAAACGTTATGTGAGTTCCAGTTAAACTTCCTACAACCTAAAGTTTCTACAGTGCCACATCCCACTCATGAAGTGGCTACACGTTAGTAGTAAACGAAGTCTATAAAATGATTTGAGATCCTCTGGCAGGAAAATAACCATATAAATGTAGATCATCCAGAAGTACCCGCTGGTGCTGCAAAAAAAATGAGGACTTTGCTCTATTACATGCAGCGACTGAAAAATAAAATTTTATCGTGTTTATTAAAATGATAAAATACATCTATATAAAAACTGTGTAATCCAAACACAAACAGGACACTTCAAAAGTACATACCCACATCACGCTGTGCTAGGATACCAGTTAGGCAAACCCAGCTTGAGTTCTTTTAAAGTGTAAAAATTGTATTAGAAATAAAATTGCATGGAAGAAACACCGCTGGAAGATACAGAAGGGAGATGACAGCGCATAAAACAAGAGGCCAAACCAGGCAGTCGCTGAGGGTTTGTTTGTTTTTTTTTTTGTACGTGCGGCCAGACCCGGCCGAGCAGCCACATGAAGTGACGTGAAACGTCTGGGATGAACACCCACCACCACCCCCGAGGTGCCCCACTTGGGGTGCGCGGCAGTCTGCCCCCAGCGTCCCCAACACCCACGGCTCACGTGTCCCCAGCACCCCGTGGGTGAAGTGTCCCTACAATCCCGTGGGTGAAGTGTCCCCACAATCCCGTGGGTGAAGTGTCTCCCCAGCACTCCACGCCTTCCATGTCCCCACCTCCCCCCCCAGCCCGGTGACGGGGCGCTGCTCCCCGCAGTCCCTGACACACCGAAGCCACCACCCCGGCCCCCGGCAGTGCCGAGGAGGGACGAGGGGCAGGCTGCGAGGCGGAGCCCACCCCGCGCTCGGCAGGGCCCGAGGAGCCGGCGGGCGCCCTGAGTCACGCTTTCGGTCTCCGGGCGGGGCCTGGAAAGTCCCGGCCGCGCTCCCCGCGCCATGGCGGGCGCTGCTCTCGGGGGCCCACGGCACCCACCTTGAGGCCGAGCAGGCGGGACTGGCGCTGCTTCTCGGCAGGGCTGAGCGCCCGCAGGCGCTGCCGCAGCTCCCCCCGCAGCGCCTGCTTGGCCGCCCGCAGCGCGGCCGCCATCGCGTCCCCCGGCGGCTCCTCCATGAGCCGGGCGGGCCCTGCTGCTCTGCTCGGGGCCCGGGAGGGCAACGGCCCCGCGGCCCCGGCCCCGCCGTGCCGGAGGGCCCTGCCAACAACAGCCTTTTTTCTTTTTTTTTTTTTTTTTTTTTTTTTTTTTTTTCGGCCTGGCGCAGATCGCGAAGGATTTCCCCTTCGCTGATTTTGTTGCAGGAAGGGAAATTACGTTTAGGCGGGATATTTTACCACCGTCTGCCAGGCAGTTTCACATCCCTGCGGCATCTGCCAGCGGGCCCCGAGGGAGGGGTGTGGAGGAGGGAGAGCCCCGTGCCCACAGGGAAGGTGTGCCAGCCATGCAGCCTTGTCCAAAGGGAATAGGACAGTGTCAGGCACATGGTGTGTTCCAGCCCACCTTGGACAGCCCAGAGAGGTCGCAGAGTCACTGTCCCTGGAAGTGTTCAAGAAGCAACATGTGTCTGGTTGACAGTGCCTCCTGTCCGGTGTCTATGGTGGTGTGTCTAGTGCCATGGTCTAGCTGACAAGGTGGTGATCGGTCAAAGGCTGGGCTCAGAGACCTCAGAGGTATTTTCCAACCTAATTGGTTCTGTGATTCTGTGATTTTAAGTGCAGAAAGCTACATTTCCATGGGAGAACACCTGTTTTCACAAATCTCTTCCACGTGGCATTTGATGACATCTCAATTTAGCCACAGTGCAGATGGATGAAGGCATCAGCTGTCCCACTGTGCAGCTCTCTGACCTCACCTTTTGCTCTGGAAGCAGCACTGTGTTCTCCTGTGTATTGCCTGACAGCTGTAAGGATCCCTTAAACAGCAGTGCCCCAGGACCTGGGCACTGCTCAGTGTTATGTAAGGATAACTTCATGACAGTTAACAAAGTACATCTACACGATTTTGTAGCCTACTTTAGCTAGTAGCCTTGCTGTTTTCAGACATCTTATTGTGTTTAGAATCAGGGTGGTGCATCTCATCACTGCTTTTCTTGCTCTTAAATGCAGAGCAAAGGAAGATTTTTTCTTGATGAAGATAACCTGCAGCCCGCTGGACCGTTAATGATCCAGGCTTCTTTTGTTTAAACCCACAAAGATGAGTTGTAAAATAGTTGTATCACCTAGATTTTGAAAAGGCATGGTTGGCCTTTATGTTTAAATAAAAAACTGTACTCTTGAGTATGAAGTAGGTTACTAGATCAGTGTAAAAGGAAGTGGATGTGGTATTAATAGACTGGTGTTAGCCACTATAATCTGCATTTGCAGTAGTGCACAAAAAGAAACTGAGTATGAATTTCTGTTCTTATCATGAAGGCTTAGACTGCAAATGAGTAAATATATGTCATAACATGTTTTGAAATGTCATTTCTACACAGGAACTTCCGTAGCTGTTCTGGAGTTGGGCATTTTTCTTTAGCTGCTCCATGCCCTCAGAATGCTGCCATCTTTTCTTCAACAGCAACAAACTTTATCTAACAAGTCTTACTGTACATTCTAAATAATCTTTCTTGTTTTCAGTGGGGAGGGAGAGGGAGAGGAGAGAGGGAGGGAGAGAAAGAAGGAGCAAAAGGAGCAACAGAGATTCTAACAAACATTAATGCATGCTTGTATTCTGTGGTTAAACCCATCAAGTTAGACCATAGAGTCACAGAACAGCCCAGACTGGAAGGGACCTTGAAAGATTGTCTGGTCCAACCTTTCCTGGAAAAGGGAGCCTAGAGGAAATTGTCTAGGGCTCTGTTCAGTTATATCTTGAAAACTGACAGTGATGGGGACTCTACCACATCTCTGGGAAGGTTGTTCCAGTAAATGATTCTTCTTAGTGCAAAAAATGCCTTACATTGAGATGAAAGATTCAAAATTCATTGCTAGAAGAATGAAAGATAGAGAGCCCTTCACCAGGTCTTCTTTCAGTGTTATAAAGCCTGGATTTTCTAGAGGATTTGTGTCAGACAGTAGTGCCGTTGTGTACCACAGGTAACTTCTGGCTCAGTTTGATTCACCTTCTAGCATGTCTACAAAAGAAGGGTGTTTAGACCCAGTCTTAGTACCCTGATGTCACTACAGCTAAAGAAAAACCCTTCTAGAATGAACTCTTGAAGAATTAGTGTTTCACCTTTCAAAGCAAGTGGACTTATAGTCAAAACAGTAATTGCCCCGGTCTGTAAAAGCCAGGAAGTCTCTTACACACTACTTTGAATTTGTGGAGTTTTGAAATATAAAACAATAATTACTGTCATCAGAGCTGATCCAATTAATTTATTTTGCCACAAGATGTCTGTTTCTTATACAAGCTAGCAGAAGTACTACAGAAAATTAAAGTCTTGACATCCATGAATGCCAGGTCAAACGCACATACTAAGGGATTTCCCAGTAGCATTGTGATAGCTTTTCTAACAGTTATCTTACTCAGGTAAAAAATGAGGCCAATTCTAAAGCTTTAAAATTCATATTTTAATATATTTTTTAAAAAATAATAGTGTATTTACATGATTTTCTTACCTTAAAAATATTTTATACTTGCCTATTTTTAAAAGAAAGTTCAGCAAGATGATTACACCACACAGATATGAAAGAACATCCACTGTAGATATGAGCAATTAAAAAATACAGCACAGAAACACATACCATTGCAGTAACAGTAAGTGAGTGCACTTTTTTAAGTTGCTAGCTTCCACAAATAGTTCTTCCCATAGAAATTGCTTAGTCTGTATAAGTAACTTCTAACCACTTTTATACTGGAATTTGCATTCCTTATATCTTCACAAAAATGCCCCCTTTTGCTTATACAAAGATTGCAATAAAATGCATTACAGTAGTATTTCATTTACAAAACAAATGACATAAAAACTTGTTTCTTAACCCATTGGATTGTATTTCACTAAAACAATGTTCTTTCATGGAGATTCAAGCGAGATTCCAAGAGCTGTCTGGATGTGGAAAATTATCTCAATCCTGCCTGGAAAGATGGACTTGAATTGCTGCAAGATGTTGTGTGGATTCCTCTTAGGAGGGATCTCATCTTCAGGTTTGGTAATTAGGATAGCATGTTAAACATTGTATTTAGTCCAAATAAATACAAATAAATTAAAAACAAATCATGGAAGGAAATTATTTTCTTATTGATATGTCTTGGAGGAAGGTTGAGAAGTGAAGCTTGTGGCAATACCTAGATTACACATAAGTGGCAGGTCCTTTTATTTCAGTAGTACTCTCTGAGCAAGGAAAAAACAGCTATGAACAGGGCTGTAATTTTGGAGAAAGATAGTAGTGATCTTCTTTCAAACTTTGTTAGGAAGCCATTTTCCTGTGAAAAGAAAAAGCAGTTAGGGACAGCTTAAAAACACATAGGAAAACCCCACCACCCTGTGCTAGTGTCGGATTAACAGGGTGCTACAGCCCTGTGGGTGGAGGGACAGCTTTTCAGAGCTCTACCTCCAAAAGATGAATAAGGCTTGAAAAACTGTAGCTGAAAATAGCTGCACCTCGCTGAATGTTTGTTTTATCTCTAAGTCAAGACTGTGCCCTCCCTGTGTAAATAGAAAACTGACATGAACTCTATCACCTGAGACCACATCTTCCAGGCAGATACAAGTACTATGTCTCTGATGTAGTAATATACTTAAAAATATCTTCCTTTAAGTCTCCTTATTCTACTATGATGAGCCCCCTGTTATGACAGAATGTTGCCAGGAGTTGATACTTCTCTTAAATAAAATTGACTTTATTTGAAAGAGATGGAAAGAGAAGGCTGCTCAATAAATCTGATGCACCAAGGGGTCCTGAGTCACTATCAGTTCTTTTTTACAGCTATAGACAGAGAAGGATTAAAACAAGCAGAAAGAAAAAAGGAAAAGCAAGAGACTAGAAAATAAATCAGGGGAAAAAATAATAGCAAATAGGAGATATGAGAGAAGTGGGATGAGAGGGGGTGGAAAGAGAAAGTGACATTTACATATAAGTAAAGGAAAAAAGTACCAAGGAAATAACTGACACATGTCATAGGTTTCCAGATTCCCCTAACTGCAAAAGAAAAAAGTATTGGTCTGATGGAACTCTGCAAAAGCAAAAGGGGTCTTCCCTTCACTGGAAGAAGGTAATTTCAGCAGCTGGGCAAAATAATCCACTTATTGACAAGTGTTCTTCTCAGCACTCACCATTGATAGACGGAAGTTCTAGGAGTGCGTCACTCCAAACAATAAAGATTTAGCCTCAGTTATACTTAACTGGACCTTGGTTGTAAGTAAAACTGATTTGGGGGATAAAATAATGTCTTTGT